ACTATCCACAAACAACTATGGCAATTATCCACAATCTCTTTTTCTTTACTTCGTTAGAAGATAAATCCTATTTGAGACTCAAGATGTTGAAATCACATACACATATTAGAGATCAATTGCAGTCCAAACTTGTAATAAATTAGACGCAACAAACTCTAATTCAGCAAAAAAATGCGAACACACAAAAGAAAACAGAAACATTCAAAAGACTTGGGCAACTGCAAAAAAAAAAAAACATTGACGAAGCTAATAACTTAAAATGAAAGGCAGAGAAATATTTGTTGAGTGGGTCTGCTAGGATATTTCGCACTTAATTTCCTAAGATGGTCACATCAAAAGGAATGTCAAGATGAGCTTCAAAAGCACCAGGATGGTATTTACAGGAATGATCATAGAGAGCCTGTCTTTTATCAACTTAAGAGTTTAACAAGAGAATGGAAAAAAAACAACATATAACGTACTCATATATGCTTTAATCCTCATATAAACTACATTACTTTTGTACCCAAAATCTTCTAGCTGCCAAATGTTTATCAATACTGTACCATTCCAAGGGTTAAAGTCCCATAAGCATTCGGTTAAATCCAAGTTTTTGTTTTTTTTTTTTTTTTTTTTTTTTTTTTTTTTTTTAAATGAGAAACCAATATCCAAGAATGATTATTATTAAGATCAAATGCAAATGGTTAAATCCTAGAATCTCTACCACAATATCCATCTCTTAAAGTTAGCTTTCATCTTTTCTTATGTTATACCCGAGCAAATAAGGGGTATATGAGTGAACCGAGATCACCTCCGAATGAAAGCAATCTTAAGGATAGAATGCCTAAAAATGACTTAAAAGAATTAAGTGTACTTTACTTGAAACAATTCTATGTTTGGTGACCTCCGGAGCATTTTCTAGGAAGCATGTAAGTGAGAACAAAATATGCTGAAAACACTAGTGTTAGTCTGTGGGGGGTAGTCTTCACTTTTAGAAGCGATAAGTAAGAAACATGACCATGTTATAGAGGATGCTGAGGAATGTCAAGGTCATCAAGTGCTTAATAAGGACTCCAATTCCTGTGCATGGGTCATTACATCTTAACTCATCCAAGGAAAACGCCCACAAGGCAAGAGATCTAATGACCTTTTTCTCTCGTCTAAATATTTTGGAGATGATATAAAAAAACTCAACACATCATTCTCAAAATGAAACAGATGTTATATCCTAATTCCACCATCCTATCCATCGTAAGTGATCACCTGGATGTTAAATATATGTGAGTCCTAACAATGAGAGAAGTAAGCCACACTACTTACTAGTTTACAGCTTATGAACACTACCATCGCCACCATCATGCACTGGCAGTCTGGCACACTAATCAGTGGAAAAATTCAAAAGACCCAGATTCATTATTGAGGATTAAACCCCTCAAAACCTAGCACAATCCTTCAAAACTTATCTTTATAGCACTGTTTAAAAAATCAAATATGTAAGATTCCACTTGCAAGATGTTTAAATAAACCTTCCAAAATCCAAGAACCTCACTATCATTCTTTTTTCCTTTTCAAAGGAAAAAGGAAAGAAGATACTTTTTGTTGATTGACGTAAAAATACAAAATAAAAAATGGAATACCCAAGTATACCCAGTAGTTGCAAAATGGTGTATCAATTGGACTTAAGAGTAGCAAAAAGTGTTGTTTAATAACAAAAAGAAGCCACAATTAGAGGAAGGTATTTGGTAGTCTCCAAACATCCTTCCACCGTCTTTGTTATCATATCAATAGTAAAACAAGGTGCTCACGAGTTAATCTGATATCTCAAACAGATATTGCAAAAAAATAAATAAATACCATTCAAGAACGCACTGCAGATGAAACTCATGTTTGCAACTGGTCATCTGCACAAAATATAGAAACTGACTACGTGGAACAGAAACCATCTGACGTCCCATTTAAGTATTAAATCACAATATAAGTAATACCGTTGAAGGATCACTGTCACAGAAGTTTTCTAAACATATACTGCAAGCATCATCACAAGCATCCTGGATTCCACCTTCGACAAAAGCCGCAGCTGATGTCAAATGCGCTTCAGATTTTTTTGTTTCGTCCATAGTTGGAGACTGTATGAACAAAACAAAAAAACATGATCTAGTGCGTGACTTATAAACAACGAAACAAGGAAATGATATACACTACCATCAGATATAATTTGGAGATACGACATACATTTCCAGTGAATTAAATCACGCACATACAGCCAATCCAAACGAGAACAAAATAGCTTAAATACACAAATTTGCAGAGCTACAAGCAATAATCTGGCACCAAAGAGAAGAGAAACAGAGATCAGGAAAATTACATATACAAACAGCTAGAAAGCAGATTCAAGAGGCAAACACACTAGAAAGACACAGATAAGTTGCTCATCTCCACATCTGTTACTCCATGAAAACAACAAGATAAGAAAAGAAAAAGAATCCAGTAACAGAATATATCCATCCACATCCACTTTATCATCCGAATAACAGTCGATAAAAATGGAATCCAAAAACATGATGAAAAGTAGGTAGAATACAAAAAGTAATCCAAGAAAGAACAATCTTCATCGAAGAGAGAGAGAACTAAAAAAATAGAGACGTCAAGGCAACAAAAACATGAAGGAAGCAAAAGACGTGAAGGCGAGAGAAAATTGGGGGATGGAAGTACCTCCATGTGAATCGAGCATGCGCAGGACGATGTTGAATGGATTGGAATCAGAGAAACCCTAGTGGAAGGAGGAGGAGGAGAATTGAGGCGGAGGTGGCGGTGGAGGCTCCGGTCTTGACTTGGAAAAGGCTGCTGCTGAGTGCTGAGTGCTGTGTTTGGGTTTGGTCGGTCGTCGGCTCAGTAATGAATGTATTTGTTGTATGAATCTGATGGGTTCATTTTCTCAACGCGTGGACAATTTTTGTGGTAATTACGTCATTCTCTCTATCTTTCTCCCATTTTTATATTAGGAAATAAAATAATAACAATTTGAGAATCTGACCAATTTAGATTATCGAATTAGTTTTTTTTTTTTTATATTTGAGTGAAGTTGAATTTATAGAAAATCGAGAATTTGGGTCGGTTCCTTGGTTGGTATTCTTTTTTGCCTGGTCTAAAAAATAAGGTTACAACCCAATATCACCCGGTCTATTATTACTTGCAGTGTATACGAGCGAGCATAGCCCAAAAAACGTGGAAGCCCGTTGTAGAGCAGTTGACTAGAAGTATCAGACTGTTGAGAAGAGGGCTCGAGTGTATACATGCAAGCATAGCCCAAAGAACGAGGAAGTCCATTATAGAGCAGTTGACTAGAAGTATCAGACTATTGAGAAGAGGGCTCGAGTGTATACAAGCGAGCATAGCTCAAAGAACGAGGAAGTCCGTTATAGAGCAGTCTACTAAAAGTATCAGACTGTTGAAAAGACAGTCTCTCTCGAAAAAGATAACCTAATTTCTCTTCATTTTATTTTTCTCATTTGTATGATTATTAATGGAATAAATACTTTTTCAACATTTTGAAAATTTCAATATATATCAAATTACTAATTTATTCTTTAAAATTATTTTAAGAGTTGAATTTGATTAGTCAATATCTTTAATATTTGACCATTGACTTTATCCATACAATAAGAAATGACGGTAAGCATCAGGAATATTGATAATTTACCAGGGGTAAGAATGGGAATCAACCCATCCATATTTAAAGTCAACAAAAAGTCAACATTTAGTCAATCTAGGTCATCCATATCTTAAATTACCCTACACTTCCTTGTAAATCCTAATACCAATTTAAACAAATTTAAAAATATATCTATTTTAAAAAAAATTCCATAATTAATCTCTCTCAAATTACCATAAGGTACATCTCCTTATAAAATTGTAGGTTTTTTTTTAGCGAAAAAACGAACCATCATCGAAAAAAACTCAATCTGGGTGATGCTACCCCGATCAGTACTCTAGAACATCTTGTTCTACGTCATCTTCACGTGAGCAATCGAGACTGAGAAGTAGTGATAAGGGTCACGAGAATCTTATTTATCTGGACAAAAAAGGATATTGAACTAATTTATCATATAGAATAATATATCAACCGCTCATCTAATTTCATAAACATGACTGTCATTTTCTCATCGAGCGAGAGAAACTCACATGCGTCAAGGATGAGATCATTGTCCAACCCAGACAGGGTTTGAACAACATCAAACACTTGATTTAAGCATGTTGTAGTTCTAGGTGCAAACAAGAGAATAACAAATATTTGTTTTGTAGCTAATATTCTGTAATAGTTCAAGCTCATCGTTAGCAGATACTGTCCTCGGCTTTCCCTCAAGATTCTAAAACGCGTATGTTAGGGAGAGGTTTCCACACTCTCATGAGAAATACTTTGTTCCCATCTCCAACTGATCTGGGATCTCACGATCCACCCCCATTGAAGCCTAGCATCCTAGCTTGCACATCGTCCGCTAGTTGATGATGATGGCTCCACTCTGTTGTTCTTTCATGCATTCTCACACAAACTCACATGCAATTACGACGAAGCTTCATGAATCTTGAATTCGATTGATTGGGTAGCAAAAACACAAATCTTCTCGACTGTTCATACAGAATCGTTAGTTCCCCAGCGACAGAGTACTTGACTGTGTTTTAAAATATCAGTTTAATTAATACCATTCAATCATTTTAAGAAATTTGAAAAATACAACTTTAAAAAGTTGAATTAAAGTATCTCATTACTGTATCATATCAGTAGTGTATGAACAATCATTCAAAATTTATATCTATCAATACGTCTATAAACATATCTTTAATGTATTAATAGAATATATAATATTAGTACGAACACACATTCATAGTTGGTTTCGAGCATGACGGTGACGTTGTAACTATATGAATATGGACACTAAATGTTCACTTAAACTTTCCTAGTTGAAATTTAACTATCTTGTGGAGGCCAAGAATTGACCATACACCCTTTGATTTCAAATCGTTACCCACTTCATCTTCCATAAATTCCTATATAATCCCCCATCGCATTCACTTCTCAATTCACTCTCCTCGTTGCTCCCAATCGCTTGACGTGCCTCATACTCCACCGCCGGGTTCTGCCGTCTCCCGCCGGAACCGACCCCATTTTGTCCTCTTTCGCCGGAACCTGCTCGGTAAGTTCCAATTTCTCAGATCTGATTGCTGCATTTGATTCCTTCCGCGTTCTAGATTTGGAAAACTAAGAGTGATCCGGTATTGTCTTATGCTCACATCGAAATGCCATGAATCTGTAATTTGATCGGGTTTTTTTTTTCGAACTCTATGGCATATTCTGGCACCGAAATTTGATGAATCTGTGATTTGTGCTGGGTGATTTCGTTGAATTTCACTGCATTGTGTGGAATTTCACTTCCTTGTTTGGAATGCTTCCGATCCAATGTCTACGATGATATTGAAATATATGCATTCGATGCAGAGGATTTTGAGTTTCGATGTCTTATTGATCTCATCTTGCTGATCTTCTATTCTGTGTTCTCTGATTTTGGTGTCAATCGAATTATGTGCTTAACTTCAGAGTGTTCTTGTGGACAGTAAGAAGATGAGGGAGATTCTCCACGTTCAAGGTGGTCAGTGTGGTAACCAGATCGGATCCAAGTTTTGGGAAGTGTTGTGTGATGAACATGGCATAGATCCTACTGGCCGATACACTGGAACCTCTGATTTGCAACTTGAACGTGTCAATGTGTATTACAATGAGGCTTCTTGTGGGCGTTATGTCCCTCGTGCTGTGCTCATGGATCTGGAGCCTGGTACCATGGACAGTGTGAGGACAGGTCCTTATGGACAAATCTTCAGGCCGGACAATTTCGTTTTTGGGCAATCTGGGGCTGGTAATAACTGGGCCAAGGGGCATTACACAGAAGGAGCAGAACTCATTGATGCTGTGCTCGACGTCGTGAGAAAGGAAGCCGAGAATTGTGATTGCCTTCAAGGTATAAATCTATGTCTCAGATCATCTTGTGCTTGATTAGATGCGATTGCTTGGATCTAGTGAGAATTGTTTAAGTTTTGGCCTTTATTTTTAGTTTTGGATGTTCATGTGGGATGAGATTTTAAGACATGATTGAGAGTGTCAAATAATAGATCCAATATCGACCCACGTGCTTTTCATCTTTGTTTGAGTTATATCATATAATGTTATTAAACTCATTCAACTTCTATTAAATGGCGTCGAAAAGTGCCAAAAAGTATGTTAATGTCTTCTTTTGCTACTTTACTTTTTTTCTTTTAATACTGTTTTTAAAAGAGTGTTCTTGAGCATGTGTCCAATTGTTAAGCACTCCTGATAGCATCTTCTTCATGGCCTTGCTTGCTGTAAGGAAAGGTCATGCCAAAGTCAATGAGATCCGTAGTTATTAATTAATTTTGTACACAAGAAGACAAATTTTCTTCATGTTCTTACACGTAAGATCTGAAATTTTGTTCTTATTTATTGATGAGAAGTCGCCAACACCCTATTTTCTTTATGTCGTTTGTTTTTGTCTAAACTTTATTGAGAATTCAGCTTGAACCATTCATACTTTAGAAAGTTTTTCTTTTCCATAGAAAATATTACAGTTTCCGATCATCGGATTTCTGATTCATCTGCTGTTTTTAACTCGGTTTGTTTGCTCGTCATTTTTCTGTGTCCTCACAGGTTTCCAAGTGTGCCATTCACTTGGTGGAGGCACCGGTTCTGGAATGGGGACTCTTCTGATTTCCAAAATCAGGGAAGAATATCCAGACAGGATGTTGCTTACTTTCTCCGTCTTCCCTTCGCCGAAAGTGTCTGATACAGTCGTCGAGCCATACAATGCCACACTTTCCGTTCATCAGCTCGTCGAGAATGCGGATGAGTGCATGGTGCTGGACAATGAAGCATTATATGATATTTGCTTCAGGACTCTTAAGTTAACTACTCCTAGCTGTAAGTATAATATCAATCATTTGTTGATAAACAAGAAGAACATGATGGTGGAAGGATTTGATTCAGTATTTCAAGCAATTCTAATATAAATTGGCATTGAAGTTAATCTAATCAAGACATGGAGGCCGGTCATTTTAATGAGCATTCTATGATGATGAAAGCATCTCCAGTGTTTTTAGGTGTTCCCCTGTGAAAATCTAATTTCCTGACCTCTAAATTTAACTAACTGTCAGTATATTAATGTCCTATTATCTTACCTGAAACTTTTGTGTTCCGTTTCCAAAAATTTGAAATTCATTTTGTTACAAGATTAGAGCTGCACCTTATACTTTAAAAGCAGTAGTAGCTAATATTGTGTGATCTCACATTGGTTGGAGGGGGGAACGAAACATTCCTTATAAGGGTGTGGAAACCTTCCTAGTAGATGTGTTTATGAGGGGAAGCCCAAAGAGGACAATATGCTTGGGCTGTTATAAATGGTATTAGAGCCAAACACCGTGCGGTGTGCCAATGAGGACGCCAGTCCCTAAGGGGGGTGGATTGCAAGATCCCACACCGGTTGGAGAGGGGAACGAAGCATTCTTTAAATGAGTGTAGAAACCTCTCTCTAGCAGACACCTTTTAAACATCTTAAGGGGAAGGTTGAAAGGGAAAGCTCAACGTGGATAATATCTGCTAACGATGGGTTTGAAATATTACAAATACACATGCGCCCATAAACATAACTTAAAAGAACTGATTGTAACATGTAAATTTGATTCTATCATTTTAATTTAATTTCTTTGCTCTTGAAACAGTTGGGGATCTGAACCATTTAATTTCTGCTACAATGAGTGGGGTGACATGCTGTCTGAGATTTCCTGGCCAGCTTAACTCTGACCTGAGAAAACTTGCTGTGAATCTAATTCCCTTCCCTCGTCTACACTTCTTTATGGTGGGATTTGCTCCTCTTACCTCACGCGGGTCGCAGCTATATCGGGCGCTGACCGTCCCTGAGTTGACACAGCAAATGTGGGATTCTAAAAACATGATGTGTGCTGCAGACCCTCGCCATGGCCGATACCTCACGGCCTCTGCCATGTTCAGGGGGAAGATGAGTACTAAAGAAGTTGATGAACAGATGATCAATGTTCAAAACAAGAACTCGTCATACTTTGTGGAATGGATTCCAAACAATGTTAAATCCAGCGTTTGTGACATTGCTCCTAAAGGACTTTCCATGGCGTCGACCTTCATCGGAAACTCAACCTCGATTCAGGAAATGTTCAGGCGTGTGAGCGAGCAGTTCACTGCCATGTTCAGGAGGAAGGCTTTCTTGCACTGGTACACTGGAGAAGGAATGGATGAAATGGAGTTCACTGAGGCAGAAAGCAACATGAACGATCTCGTTTCCGAGTATCAGCAGTACCAGGACGCCACAGCTGATGAGGAGGAGTATTACGACGAGGAAGACGAGGAGGCTGAACACGAGTAACTTCACTTCTCTGTGAGTAATCTGTTTCTGTTTCGATATACATATGCTATTCGTGTTGAGAACAAGTTCTATGCTTCCTGTGATGGGTGTTTCATTTCTTCTTCTCATCTGTTGTTTGAGTATGTTATTTTGTAATGTTATGAGTTATAAGCTGTTGAGTAATTAAATGAGGAGTATCTGTGTTTCTACGAGTTTTCACCTCAGGATTATGAATTGATGGTTTAATATGAACTCAGTGAATCAGTTCCTCCATTACGTGCTTCATATTTGGGAGCTAAATGGAATAGCTTCTAACAAATAATAACAATATACAATACATCCCCATTCTTTTTACCTCAAGTAGAAGAAGTTGCGAGGTTTGGATACTCATCTAAATCTCTGTAACAGCTTTCTGCTTTAGCTTGTTTCATATCGTCATCCTCAGTTTTAAAACATGTTTGTTAGGGAGAGGTTTCACACCCTTATAAAAAATGTTTTATTCCCTCTTTCAACGGATGTGAGATCTCACAATCCACTCACCCTTTTGGGAGCTCAATGTACTATTTGTAATAGCTCAAGCTTATGCTAACAGATATTGTTCGCCTTGGCTGTTATGCATCGCCATCAGTCTCACGATTTTAAATCGCGTCGGTTAGGAATGCTTTATCTCCTCTCCAACCGACAGAGAGATCTCACAAAAACCCTAAATTATTGCTATTCTTTATGGTTTTCTCAACTTTTGAAGCCATTTTCTTTCCAATGTTTGGAAAGAAAGAGAAACTGTTTCCATGAGAGGCAATGATTAAAAAAAGAATCCACAAGGATGGATGAATTTAACTCATTTTCCCTTAGCCTTTTGTTTTTTCAAAGAATCTTAGAAACCTTCATCATGATAGTTCGCCCCCTTTTCACTTTCTCACGTTTCTATCGATACATCGATATTATATCAACCATTACATCAAACTTCGTCTTGTGATGTTACGAGTCTTCTTGTTGTTATCGTCGTTGTTCTTGTAACTTTGGTTGACACTTATAGTATACTTATAGTCTTCTTGTAACAACATTTTAAGAGGTAAACAAATGCCTTGAACCAATTGAACTTTATTGGTACGTCTAAAAAAGATATAACTTAAATAAATTTAGCCCACATGCATGCACGCTATTTATAGATATATGATAGATACATGATATGCTATTTTATTGTTTATCAATTTGAGTATAGCTTCAATTATCATTTCAAAAGTTCATAAACGCCACATTCCACTTATAAGTTTATTTGTTTCATTATCCACTTTTTACTAATGTTTTCAAAATTTTGTTTTTATTTTTAGAATTTTGACAAACAAAAAGCGAAAAATTGAGAGGAACCAAGCATAAATTTCAAAACCCGCAAATAAAAAACGAAATTGCTACCCACTGGGGTCTTAGTTTTTAAATTTAGCTAGGATTTTGAAAACACTCGGAGTGATTCAGGGACGATAATACCCATTTTAACAGAGGTTTTAACGTTATTAGCTCGGGATTTATATGTTTAGACTTTCTAAGTCATTCTAAATCGACCCTTTGATTAAATATATATAATGTGGATAATTAAAAATGAAATTGGGCCTAAGATGTTGGATCCAAAAGTAAAAGAGTTGGTAAAGACTAAGGTTTAGATGATTAGATATTAGGGTTTGAAGAAGAGGAAGGGTTTTGTGGGTCACAATCACATGGTGATGTAATGCCATTCAGAACCTCTGACCAAATCCAACACTTATTATCTTGGAATAGAATCTTCCTCATCATTCAATTCCATTTTTAGTTTATATCGAAAAGCTAAACGTTACCTAAACTTATATTGAATAAATATGGAGAAAGTTACGGCGGGTTTGTAATCTTCTTGCTCTAACTTCTCCATAAAATTTTCTTATCGTGACTTGAACACAAGGTTAAGGTTTATGGCTTATGGGACCCAGAAAAAACCTGATAAACTAACAAACCAAATCAACCTAACTCAATCGATTTGGTTTGGGTTGGAATATGAACTTATGAATCCAAAAACTAGATTGAATTTAATCCGACCAACTCGAACCAACTGAACCCAAATAATTATACGTGTTAAGAATTAACTTTTTACTTTTATTACGATCCAAATAACTCGAATCAACCCATCCCATAAAATTTAAAGTTGTGTTGGGTTCATTATTTAATAAGGGTTATTTGAGTTGAAAATTTTTACAATTGGAACAATTGGGTTATGTCTGAAACATACTTGCCCGACTCGACCCAACCCAACCCAACGCACGAACACCTCTAACTCTAACCCTTCCAACAGTTGAATCTTTCTTGTTATGACTCAAACACAAGGTCAAAGTTTGTGGGAGTATTTTAAAAGAAAATCTCCGATCTCTTAGAGTAAATACAAAATATTTTTTTGACTCAACCCAATAAACCCATTTACGAGAACTTTTAAATAGTATTTTGTATTGAACGGTTAGGATCGTAGTAGGGGTAGGAATGAGATGGTGGATTTGTCCTAGAAACCAGACAAAGGGCCTCAAAAGGGCTAAAGAAAAACCAATATTCTTTTGAAGACAGTGATTATTCAGTGTTCCCTTTAGCCAGTTTTGGCAGAAGAAGTAGGAAAAAAGAAGCAAATAGAATATGATTTTCTATGCTCAAATGTGTCACGGGCATACATTGGGATGTACAAAGCTACAATTAAATGAAATAAAGCCTTTGGAATGTTCCTATCTCTCCCTTTGCCTTACCATTCAATCTTCCCGGACCCTTCTCTTTTCGGTTCGTCTTGTTTGTTGGATTATGTTATCCACGACGTTTCGAGAAAACATGATCTTTTGAAGTGTCCCTTTTTGGGATTCGCTTCACAGCTATAAAAAACTCGATGATTAGGAAGATTAATAGAGAATGTTACGGGTGAGTTTAGATCTGACAGGCGAAATTAGGGTTTAGAATCAATGGTTGAGGTGGCTCGGGGAAACCCTTATGGAGTTCGGTTGAAACAAAAAACTGGAGACTATAGGTCAACCTCAAATCATAATAACTCCAATAGTGTTAAGTTCCATCGAGTAAGGCACCATCCTCGAAACCTTAATTTGTTGTACCCTTATGGAGAATTAATGTTTGTGTGAGTGAAAATACTAATGAGTGTTGTAGGTGAGTTTAGATCTAACGAAGTACGTCGAAGACTGAGAGACTGCGAAATTAGGGTTCAGGATCAATGGTTGAGATGACTTGGGAGAAACCCTAATGGAGTTCAGTTGAACCCTAAAACTAAAAACTATAGGTCAACCTCAAATCATAATAACTCCAATGAATGTAAGTTCTATCGAGTCATGCACCATCTTCGAAACCCTAATTGACTACACCCTTTCGGTTTAAGCATCAAATCTAGTGTGACAAGTACCACATCAATATGTAGATCTTTGCGTTTTGTAGGTCAACTCTTTCTAACTCATCAAGGTCTAGTCATCGTAAGGAAGAACAGACGAACAAACACACTCAGCTTGAAGAGCACAATACAATAAAGAGTTGTGTATTATGTTCGAGAACGATGAATCACTCCCAAAACATTAGAAGGCGCACGTATTTTACTCTATCCGAATCCACCACTCTCACATGTTGTTGTACTAAAAAAAACCAAATATCATCACAAACTTGCTCCATTACCCACGACATAGATTCTCGATCACAAACGCTAAAAAATACGTTCCATTATTTTATATAATATATTATATAAATAATAATAATAATAATAAAAATAATAATAAATAAGTGGGTGTATAAAGAAGAAAGAAGTGATGAAGAAAATGGAAGAAAGTGGGTGTGCAAAAATGGAGGAAATGATTGAGAATTACAGTGTGGGGTTTTGGTCAGCTGAGTCTCAGAAGGCCAATCCGGCGCCGTTTTTGGCAAAAACTTATGAGTTGGTGGAGGATGCTGCCACTGATCACATTGTTTCTTGGGGCCGTTCTCACACAACCTTTGTTGTTTGGAGGCCACCTGAGTTTGCTACTCATATTCTTCCCAACTACTTCAAACACAATAACTTCTCGAGTTTCGTTCGACAACTCAACTCTTACGTATAAATCTCCCCTCTCTCTTTCTCGTTTTTTTTTTTCGTCTCTTTGTCGTTAGACTGATATCGATCGGGGAGAATTTGAACTTCTGGGTTATGTAGAATAGTCATATTTGTGTAGAATCACTGATAGGATAGTTATATCGTCGACTCTCTCCCGAGCGTCTTGAGATTCCTTTCTTGATCGTCGGAGAGAATTTGAACTTCTGGGTTATGTAGAATAGTTATACTGGTGTAGAATCACCGATCGAATAGTTATATTGTCGATGTTCTTCTGGCCGTATTAGGATTCTTTTTCCTGATCGTCGGGGATAATTCGAACTTTTGGGTTATGTAGAATAGTCATACTGGTGTAGAATTACTGATCGGATAGTTATATTGTCGATGTTCTCCTGGCGGTCTTGGGATTCATTTCCTGATCGTCGGGGATAATTCGAACTTTTGAGTTGGGTAGAATCGTAATACTGGTGTAGAACCACTGCTTAGATAGCTACATCATCGACACTTTCATAGTCGTCTAGAGATTCCTTTAACCTATGAGCAATGAAGGAAGATATAGTTTTGTATGTTTTTCTTAGTTTTGCTTGAATTCGTTATTAATTTCTTGACCCATTTGAATTTACTAATTTTAAAGGGAAAGATACCATAATCGACCACTTGAGCTACATGGTTAGTTCGTTTTTCTTTTGATGAAGGTAGACATGAATTAGTGCTGAATCATCTTGAACTATACTTGAGTTATGAAATCCCGCCTCTCTATATGTGAAATTTAAACCCTATGAACTCTAGGAAAAAGTAGACACTGTCGTTCAATCACTGTTGAGCTATACTCAAATTGGTTAATGAAAAATATAGCAGAGGTAGAAGTATCGAAATTGTATTGTTGAGTATAATCACTAGTGTTATAGAGCTATGCTCGATCATATGCTACAATTTGTAAGAAACGAGAAATAGATCGTCCGACAAACTTATAGAGCTATGCTCGAGTTTTTTTCGTAGGGATTCAAGAAAATAGTCGCAAAAAGATGGGAATTTGGAAACCAAAACTTCAAGAAAGGAGAGAAGCAATTACTATTAGAGATTCAAAGAAGAAAACCCCATAATCACAACAACAATCTCCACCAACAACAACAAATCCCATTCCAATTCTGTTACACCGCCGCGGCCGCCACCTCCTCCTCCTCCTCAGATC